AAATATACCTAGCACTTGTGGCTGGGTTTCATATTTAAATTGCGAATTTTTCTGCACTGCCCTTTGTCCATCTTTGGGGGCTTTTTTAACATCACCACATGTGATAAAACATTCCTTCTGTTTCGTGACATTTCGCATTTTGTGACCACATGGTTTGTATCTCTTTGATATTACTGACTGGGTTGCGCAAAATCCATAAAACACATTGTAATCATTTTCCTTTGTGATACAGTAGTCCTCCACTTCCAACAGTTTCCGTCATCCACGTCATGGTTGTCCCAAAGGTACTTTTTCAGAAAGTAACTGGATTTTGTTTGTTGTTTTGAAGATGTTTCGCTTCTCATCTAAGAAGCTTCTTCAGCTCTGAGTGGTGCTCAAAGGAACCAGGAGGACTATTCAGGTGACCCTGAGGACACAGTAAAACCTCCAGGTGGCCTCAACAACCCTCTAAAAAGATGCAAATGACCAGCTGTCTGCAAGGAATATAAATCCTTCCATTCCCCTTTATCCTGTCAGAGCTGAAGAAGCTTCTTCGATGAAAAGCGAAAGGTCTTCAAATGAAAAAAAAAACCCAGAAAATCCAGTTGCCTCCTGAAAAAAGCACCTTTGAGACATCCACTTCCAACCACTTGGAATTAGGACCCAAAGGCTGAAAAGAGGGACTTATGACCTGGATCCAAAGTTCTGACAGTCCAGGGCCCTGCTGTGGTCATGGGACCGCACTTTGGGTGCTTGGCAACATGACATCTACAGTATCCCAGTTACATGGCTGCATTTCATGATGGTTTTCCCCAAAACCGGTACAGCAAAACCACACCATAACAAACAATGGGTTCGCTTAACCATAACATCTGTAGCATTTCCCCTTACAATTGACACATTCGCTGAAAAAAAAGATAACAAAATTGGTCTTACAAACATTATTCAGGTAGTTCTCAACTTACAACAGTTCATTTAGTGACCGTTCAAAGTTATAATGGCACTGAAAAAAGTGACTTATGACTGTTTTTCACCGTTACGACCTTTGCAGCATCCCCACCCAACCGGACCTTGCCCTGCAAACATCTGCTCAGCCTGGAATGGCTTTGAGTCAAGCTCTCCTCATGGAAACTTCCATGCTGTGGTCTTGGCTGAAGCACAAAACCCCTTTTTCCTGGATAAAACAACTTCTTTCGATTCCCAGTTTAGCCTATTGTCATCACGCTTCCTGCTAGACTCCTCTCTGAGGACTAACCAGGACTGGGCCTTGTTTAGTTCTAAGCTGGAGCAACAAAAAAGCGGATTTGGGTGTGTCGTATCTTGTGTGTTTGCTTGCTTGGGAATGTTTGTCTTGGTTTAAGCCACAGAGAAACAATTTCAGCAGCTTCGACACCTGTGGACTTCAACTCCCAGAATTCCCCAGCCAGCTCTGCTTCTGGGAAACCCACAAGTCTGGGACTGAGAAACACTGGTTTAAGTTCAAACCATGCCAAGAAAGAGTGTGGGAATTGGGCTTCAAACACTGAAGAAGCATGTGGAGAAGCAGCCACAGAACCAGATGTAGGTTAAATGAACCGTGTGAAGAATCTTCTTTGCCTTCTTTGATAAAATTAGCAATGCAGTCATTAAGCAACTCATGCTCTGTTTTACCACATTTGGTTAACAACTGTTAAACAAATCTAGCTTTCTGCATTGACCCAAAGATGCCAACTCGACAACTGGCAACTGGACATTCTTGTTTTTTCCTTTGAAGACATTCACTTCTCATCCCAGAAGCTTCTTCAGCTCTGACAGGATAGTGGGGAATGGAAGGATTTATATTCCTTGCAGGCAGCTAGTCATTTGCATGCTTTCACAGAGACATTGAGGCCACATGGGGGTCACCTGAGTGATGCTCCTGGTTCCTGTAGTTTCTAGTTTCCTACTCTCACACCATTCAAGGGTCTTCATCCCAAATTGTATAGAAATTTGGGAAAACAAAAAAACAAAAAAGTCCAGTTGTCTCCTGAAAAAGCACCTTGGGGACAATCACGTCCTGGATGACTGAGAATCTCTACAGACTTTCTCCATTGACTCTGCTTGTTCAAAGCTGGTTAGAAAGGTTGCAAATGGTGACCCAGGAATGCTGCAACTGTCATAAATATACACTGGTTGCTAAGCGCCTAAATTGCAATCACATCAACACAGGGAGATGGCAATAGTCAGAAGTGTGAGGACCAGTTGTCATTTTTTTCAGCATCATCATAGCTTCAAACAAATGGTTGACTACCTGTATGCCATAACAACTGGGGCAGGTGTCATGTTAATATGAATCCTGCAAGGTCATCATCCCCTTCCTTGAAAGCAGATCTCACACAATCCCCACAACATGGCTTTGCATGCATTGTAAACCCAGCCAACAGTAGCTTGCAATCACAACTGAGCGCATAATTTCTGTTGATAAGTGAGGCAGTTGTGGATCACTACAGTTGTTAAGTCAGTAACACGGTTGTGAAGATGATCTGGTGTCCCCATTGACTTTGCTTGTCAGAAAGTCACAAAAGGGGATTACGTGACCCCTGGACACTGGGACCATCATAAATATGAGTCAGTTGACAAATGTCTGAATTTTGATCACATGACCCTGAGGTTGCTGCAATGGTTGTGTGAAAAATGGTCATAAGTCACTTTTCTCAGTGTCATTGTAACCTTGAATGGTTACCCAGTGAATGGCTGTAAGTTGAGGACTTACCTCCATTCAACAGTGGCTGAAATCAAAGGTGAAGAGGGACCATCTGATTTGGTTATGTCCCAAAGATAGATTTTGAGAGGCAGCCTTCCATTGAGCCCAGAGTTCCCTAGCTCCGTGATGGCAAACCTATGGAACATCTGCCACAGGTGGCACATGGAGCCCTTTCTGTGGGCACGCAAGCCGTCGGCCCAGCTAAGCCCCACTGGCATGCACGAGGGCCTCCCGCTGGCCAGCTGATTTTCGGGTCTCTGCCATGCATGCAAAGAGGATGGGGACATGTGGGAGACATGCGTGCATGTATCGGGGGAGACGCATGCATACGTGGGGGTGGGGGGAGCGCAGGAGGTGTAGCACTCCCCCCACTTCATTTTTGGTGCCAGGAGGCTGCAGGGAGGCCTGCTAGGCCTAAAACGGGCTGGAGGGGAGTGTCATGCACGCATTGCATTATGGGTGCATTATGGATGTGGCCACGCGTGCATGCTGATGTGTGCACACATGTTCTTTCCGTACAAGATGACAAAAAAGATAGCCATCACTGCCCACAGCAGGTATTGCTAGGCTAAGGCTCCACCCTTCCTCTAAAGGCTCCTCCCCTATTGGGACAGTGCCAGCTCTTTACACCTCTCCAAACCTGTGGCAAAACAAAAATGACATTTGATTATTCCAGCTCTTCCCAACCCCCTATATTTAGATTCCAATCATATTTTCAGCCATAATAATGCTGGCTGGAGAAGCTTCGTCTTTCTTGCTCAAAAAGATTGGTTGGAAGGAAGGAAGGAAAGAGTTTGAAATAAAGGCTTGCAGAGGCCTATTTTCCCAGATGCTGATGAACTGCAACTCCCAGCATCCCCCACTCATCCACCGTGCTTTCTGGGGCTGCTGGGGATGGTAGTCCAGTAAGATGGAGACCCAAAGATGGCTCAGCTGGGGAAATGGGCCAGGGAGTTGCTGTGAGTTGATTCGGCTGCCTTCTGCAGCGCCTGCAGCGCCTTTGAAAAAGCTTCCCCCGTTCAGCCAGAGCAACAGGTAATAAACGAGCGCAGTTGTCATTCTTTCCAGCGGAGACGAAAGGAAGGCGGGAAGAGAAGCGGGGGAAAGAAAAGCTTTGCCGTCCTTGGCACCAGGAAGCTCTCGGCCGCTGCTCTTGCCAAGGACGTCGAAGCAGCTGTGCGCAATTCCCCGGGGGAAAGAGGATCAGAGCCGCACGCCGGGCAAAAGCGGCTCCTCCGGTTTGCATGATCGAGGCTGGCGGACAGCCAAGCGACGGCAGCGCCGGGGCCTCGGAAGAGGCGCGGAGCAGACGCGCCGCTTGGAGCCGAGCTGTCGCTGCGCCCGGGCGGAGCCGCCACCCGCTCTCTCGTGTGCCCGGCGTCCCTGCCCGCCGACCTGAAGCCCCGGGGAGCCTCCTCGTCCCGGCCTCTCTCTCTCTCGGGCCTCTTGCGCCATAAGGTTGCTCGCCTTGAACCCGCTTGGCTCAATCCAGAGCAGCCAGAAGGAGCCTCGGGGGGCTTCAGTCGGTCCGTGCAGCTCTAAAGGCCAAAGGGGCGCCGGGTTCATTTTGCCATGCAAGGGGCAGAGACAGGGCGGCTGCTTCTTCCAGCCCGCCCTCACCGGACACGTGTGGGAGACCCCCTCCCGCTCCGCCTGTGGAGGACCCCCCTCCCAGAGACTCTGGCAAGGCTCCCCCAAAACACGCGGGAGACCCCGGCGCACCCGGGCGCCTCTCGCCGTCTTCCAGCCGCCCGCCAGGACCTGCCCCCTCGGCCGGCCTCCTGTGCGCCACCGCAGCGGCGGTCCCGGGTCCCGTTTCCACATCGCGCAGCGCTTCCATCCGGCGATCCTCCCCGCCCCTCGCCCGCCTCGCCGACCGCGGGAGGGTGACAGCCGGAGCCAAGCCGGCCGAGGCGTTCCCACGGAAGGCGCCTCTTCTCGGCGGACACGTGCGGCCTCGCCTCTTCCGAGGAGGGAGCCGTTCCTGCCCGCCAGCCCGAGGGCCGCGCCGGGCGTCAGAGGGCCGAGGCGGCCTCCGGCGGCGAGGCCGAGCGCGGGAGGCAGGCAGGGCGGCGCGGGGGAGGCTCCGGCGCGGCGCGGAGGGCGGCCGGGGGCGGGGCGCAGCCGGGCAGCCAGGAGGCGTGGGGACCGGCTCGGCCGCCGCAGCTCAGCTCAGCCAGCAGCGGCGGCGGAGCAGCCCAGCGGCAGCCCCAGCAGCGGCCCAGACCCGGCTTGGCTCGGCCCGCCCCGCCTGCCCGCGCAGCTCAGCCGGCCCGGGGCGGCGTCGGGGGCGCGCGCGATGGCGTTGAGGCGGCAGGAACAGGCGCTGTCGGAGGAGAAGGGCGCCGTGGAGGCGGAGGAGCCGGCCGAGGAGGAGGAGGAGGGCGGCAGCGGCCGGAGAGCCTCGGGGGCCCGCGAGAGGCGAGCGGGGCCCGCGGCTGCGCCCGACTTCACGCCCCCCGACGGCGGCTTCGGCTGGGTGGTGGTGCTGGCCGCCACCTGGTGCCACGGCTCCATCTTCGGCATCCACAACTCCTTCGGGATGCTCTACATCCTGCTGCTTGAGGAGGCCGGCGGCGTCGAGAAGGACCACACGCTGGAGTTACGCACCTGTGAGGCTCTTTGCGCCGCCCTGTCGGGCTGGGACCCTCCGGCCGCTCTTGGCCCGGGCGGGGGTGGTGGTCCGCGGGAGCCCCTCCCTCTAAGCCCCCTTGAAATCGCGCCCTCCTGCCCCGACGCCAGGCTCCGCGCGGCCCCAGGACGGCAGGCGGCCCTCGCGCTCTTCTTCCCGCGAGGAAGAGAGCCGAGTCGGGTATGCGGGCCGGACAGCCCCTTCCCGGCTCCTTCAGACGGGCAGCGCAAGGCGCGGCGTCGCTGGTTTCCTGGCCGGTTGCTGCCCCGCGGATCGCGCTCCGTCCCGGCCGGGTGGAAAGGCGCCCCGCAGATCAGCCGCCGCTCCGGACTAAAACCCGAGCGTCTCTAGTGCCCGATGTCTGGTCAGGCGAGACAAGGGGACGGCAGGACTAGGCTTGCAAGGCGGCCTCGAGGAAAAGCCGCTTTGCTCCATCCCAGCTGGGCTGGTGCCTAAACCGACCCGAAGCGGCTGCTTTGCGCCTCCCGAGGTTCATCTTTCCCACTGCTGGCTGACTTCAGAAACGGCTCAGTCGGGTTACTCGCGCGTAGCCAGAATTGCGTGGGCTCCAGCCTCGGTTCATAGGGTGAGGGAGATCCAGTGTTATTGACTAGGAGGGACTATCAAGAAACAATAATTCCCACCCTGAGTCTCAGTTTCCAATCTGGTCCCTGCTAAATTTCTTAGACCACAATCTCCATCATCCTGTGAGGTGGTGTCTTGAGGTGGTGGACTAGGTGGTTCTCGCCATCTTGTAGATGTCAGTTGGGTCTGGCTGTCTCAAGGATACCCTCTTGGCTTCTCACAGGGCCCCAAACTATGCTGAATGGTTAATGATTTTGAAATCGCTCATCGGAGAAATATAATTCCTACTTAGAACTATGTGAAAATGATCTCTGCCTGCTCCCTCATGACTTGTTGGTTGAAGCCCACTACAGTCTGGATGGAGAACCTGTCTTAAAAATAGATAACGGGGAAAAAAACCTCCTTTAATTATTTTCTAGATTGTAGTAAATGGTCCACTGGAAACCAGCTTCTAATCCAAGCAGTGAATTATGAAGAGTCCTTGGTGCTCTTGGTTGTTTTCTTGCAAATATTTCATTACCCAAACTCTAGGTAACAGCATCAGTGCTTGTTCTGACCAAGTTCAGAGAGCCCCAAGGATTCCTCATTTCAAGCCTGACCTACAGATATTCTCCTGTATTGATGAATTAGGAATTAGAAGCCAACCATGTTGGGCCTTGAGGCTTAAATTGTTCTAGTTTCTTGTGGACCAAATCAGAATCTGTTGGTCAGCTGATGTCAGAAATAGCATCAGCAACAGAGTAGTTGCTTTTGAGACACAACTTCTTGTTCAGAGTAACCTGACCACAAGGGAAAGCAAATTCTACATTTGAGCCTTGATATTGTCTTAGAATGCCTCTAAAAACAGGCATTCTGCATTCCTGGTATGCGACCATGATGAAATCATATGCATTTTTTTAAAAAAATGAGTTCAGAGGATACTGCAGTAAATAGTTGTGTTTTACCTTCAAGGTTGCATCCTGGTGTTTTTTGCCTTGTGGTGCATTAGAATGAATTGTCTGAGGCGTCCCGTTTTTTTTAAACCACTTGGAGGTAATGGGAATTGTAGTCTAGCTGTTTGGAGTCAAACCTGGGAGCTGGAGAAGCAAAGTATTTTAGTTTCTGCTCCTCCTTTAAAGGGAAATTACACACATCCAAGTAAAATTTGGAGCTGCACCAATATTTGAAAACGATCCAAATGAGACCAGAGGAGATAGGCTTGGAGTGAATTGCTCCATGTTACTGGAAGACCTCTTCCTGTAAAATTGCTCAAAGGCCATTTCATTATCTTATCGTAGGACCACCACCTACTTCTTGCATAGGTCATAAATTAGGCAGGCAGCTTTATTGTTTATATGAAACACATTTCATTTCACTGCATTTTGTTCCCTTGACAGGGTAATTCCCCTGTACAGATTGAGTTAGTGTCCTATAAACATTTGAAGTCAAGGGAATTCCCAGTGTTGGATTTTTAAATTTTCAAGTAAACCCTCAAAACATCTTCCGCTTGAAAGTTATTTCTTCCTTTCCAACATACACACCTGTGTTTTAGTACAAGTACTCCTTGACTTACAACAGTTCATTTAGGGACTGTTCAAAGTTACAACATTGCAATCTTTCTTGACACAGTTAAGTGAATTGCTGCAGATGTTAGCAACAAGGCTTTTAATTGAATCTGGTTTCCCTTTTAACTGGGCTTGTCAGAAAGTTACAGAGGTTGATCACATGTCCCCAAGACATCACAACTGTCATAAAATATGAGTCAGTTGCCAAGTGTCTGGATTTTGATCATGTGATCATGGGGATGCTGCAACAGTCATAAGTGTGAAAAAGTGTCATAAATCACTTTTTTCAGTGCCGTTGTAACTTTGAATAGTCACTTAACCAACTGTTGTATGTCAAAGACTACCTGTACTGATGTTTCTAGTGTTGTGGGTGCTGGTTACTGATTGCAGATTGCCCCATTCCTGGTAGGGTCTCTGATCTTTCCTGAGCAAAATTGTCCTAAATCCTGCAGACTGAGAGCAGGACAATGAAAGCAGGAAGGCCTGATCCTTCCCCTCTTCTTCCCCCACCTTTTCTTTATGTTGGGTGATGGAAGAGTTTTCAGGCCAAGAACAAGGGAAGAGACGACCTTCTTGGCAGAGGAAGCTCTTTCAGGCATTCCTTGGTGCTCTGGCCTCCAACGCGCCACTGAGCTTAACCCAGTCAAAACTCAGATTCTATTTCCGGGCTGTCCTATTCTTGTTTCTCCAACAATAAAGGCTTTACATTATGTTTGCCACCTTGAGGGCTGGGGAGGAGGCTTCCTGTGAAGGGAGCAGTGGAAACACTTGAGCTCCCATTGACATGTTTTCTCCAGGACGCCTATCTCTGGCCTTAGAGGTAGGGCTGGAAGCGAAACCATATGAAGAACAGTTGCAGGAATTGTGTATGTTTAGTTTATGAAAAGAAAGACTAGGAGTGACAGGATGGCAGTCTTCCAATATTTGAGGGGCTGCCACAAAGAAGAAGGGGTCAACTTATTTTCCAAAGCACCAGAAGGCACAACAAGAAACAATGGATGGAAATTAATCAAGGAGAGAAGGAACCTAGAACTAAGGAGAAATTTCCTGGCAGTGAGAAAAATTAACCAGTGGAACAGTTTGCCACCAGAGATTGTGGGTGCTTCAACACTGGAGGTTTTTAAGAAGAGATTGGACAGCCACTTGTCTGAAATGGTAGAGTGTTTCCTGCATGAGCAGGGAGTTCGACTAGAACACCGCTGAGGCCCCTTCCAACTCTCTTATTCTGTTACAGTTGGGACTGGAATTTCCTTTGCTAAGCAGTGCACTTATTAATTGACTTGTGCCTGATTGTACGACCTTTTTGTTGCAGTTCTTAAGCCGGTTGTTAAGTGAATCTGGTTTTCCCCATTGACTTTGCTTGTTGGAGGCTGACTGAAAAGGCTGCAGGTGGGGGATCGCCTGACCCTGGGATGCTGCAGCCAACATACATATATAAGCTGGTTGCCAAGTTCCCAAAATTGATCACATGACTGTGAGACACTGTGGTGGTCCTAAGTGCGAGGACCAGTCCTAGATCACTTTTTTTCAGTGTTTTCATAATTTTGAATGGTTCTTAAAGTGAATGGTTGTTAATTGAGGCCTATCTGAATATGCTTGAAAATGCTTTTCTTTTTTTCATTTGCTGCAAAAATGGTACTTCTATTACCACCCAGATGGATGGGAGATGCCCCTCCATTCTGCCCCAACTTTTGGGATGATATGGTTTTCAGCATCTGATTTTTCTGTACATTTTCAGGGTCATGTTGAAAAGGCAGTTGCAGTGCCACTTATATAATGGGTGAAATTGGTTGCCCTTGTTAGGATTGACCTAATGTTGCATTTGCTTCAGGGGTGAAATTCAGCAGGTTCTGACAGGTTCTGGAGAACCGGTTGTGGACATTTTGAGTAGTTCAGAGAACCAGCAAATATCACCTCTGGCTGGTCCCAGAGTGAGGAGGGAATGGGGATTTTGCAGTATCCTTCCCCTCCCACGCCCACCAAGCCACACCCATAGAACCAGGAGTAAAAAAAATTGAATTTCACCACAGCTTTGCTTCACTCTTGATGGGATAAGGATTATGGGACAATTTGAGTGAAATCAGCCCAATGAGACTCCTTCGTTTTGAGCCAAACAAAGTTTGCCACTAATTATCTTTGGCTGCATTTTAAACTAGGCCAACCAGCTACTTGCAAGACAAGAGAGAAACTGAAGCAATTTCATCAGGAATACGCAGATAGGAAAAATGGGCTTTGATTATCAATTGTCATCTTGACCTGTTTGACCCAATTCTCACCTGCAGAAGTCCCTGGTTTTAGTGTTTGTGTCTACCTGCCCCAGTAAGTAGACCAGACCAAGGAATGGCCTTCTCAAAAAGGCTAAATCTGCTTTGATGGAGAGAGGCTATAACAACAGAATCTTGCAAGGCTGGTTATCTGTACCTCCCCCCCTCCTTATACTTCAGTGAATTAGGGAAGTGTTTGTTTGAGTTGCCTCCAAATATTTGTAATCATGGACTTTTCACCCCTGTTGTTCTAGAGACAGATCTTGCCTTTCTTATTTTTCATATATATAATATATATATATATATATATCTCCAAATATCAGCCCTTCAAGGTAGGCAGGTAGGAAAGTAACAGATGTGATCCCAGGAAAGCTGTGTATGGTTGTAGAGTAGAATAACACAAACTTGAAAGCTTTCTAAATTTCTCTCTGCCTCATCTTAGGCCAATAAAATCAAAGATGGTTATTTTGAGTTCCTTTCTCATGCTTCCTTCAGTCTGTGACTGTTAAACCTTCTCCAATTTTTTCTTTCTCCAAGGTCATTCCTAATTTCCTTTACAATACATTATCTCACCCTTGGTCATTTCCATAGGTCAGATTATGTTTAAGAGGTCATGATTTCTTTTAAATCCCATTTAAACTGATCTGCTAAATCACATTTTCAATAAAAAATAATCACCAACCGCCAACCTTTTTTTTTTAGAATTCCTTTTTTTAAAAAAATCGATGGGGATATAGATTTTGCTGGCACTCTTATCTTCTCACAATGGATTCTTTGCAAAGATTTT